GATCATTGCCATCATCATTGTCGGACTCACCGGGGTTGATGACCACTTCTGTATCACAGTGCCCCCGCGCCATCCTCGCGCTCGTCTGTTGATCCGTGCGCGTCAATGCCCGACGTGCGCTGCTGCTGCTCGTTCGCACTCACCGTTACACGCATACTCGCGCATTCCCCTGCGCTCGTCTATCTGCAGCAATCCCCCGCGCGCGCCATCCCCCCATTTTCCACCCCTCGCGCGCTTTTATCCTAGCCTCCAATCGCCACGCATGCCGCTTCCTTGCGCACGGCTTGCACCACTCGCCTAACTTGCCTGGCATGAAGCACTCGGCATCGGCCCAAACTTCACCCTCGCGTGGACTTTCCATACGTTGCCTCTTCGCGCGTCTTGCCTTATGCTTCTTGGTGCGTGCTCGTGCCTTCTGCCACAGCCTCTCGGCTAATCCCACCTATACTCAGGCCAATACTCTCGGTCTTGCGGCTCCTCTAACCCACTTTCGAGCCAAATCTCGAAGTTATTTGAGGATTCATCCTTGGGATCGCTATGGCCGATGACCACATCTTCATCAAGCATGCCCAGCGCATGCAACAGCACACAGCAGCACCTGGCAGCGCCCGGTAGCACCCAACAGTGCTATGTAGCGCCCAACATCATCCGGCAGCGCCTGGAAGCGCCCAGGACCGCACCCGGTATCACCCAGCCATGCCCATTGTCGCGCCAGGGTACCAGCTGGCTTTGCGCGGGACCGAGTCGGTCAGTCCGAGCTAGCATCCGATCGTTCAGCCTACAGCGAGCGGTCGGCCCAGGCAGTTAGTGAACTGGTCGGTTTGGCCGGCGGTTCGAGTCAGTTTTTGTTCAAGTATTTTGGTTAGAAGTTTATTTCAAAAATTTAGTATTTTTCCGAGCCAAACTAATTCATATTAAGATAACATGTCTAATTCCGGACATAGGACAATTTTCAGAATCTTAGAGTGTTCCGGTGAATTAGAATATTTTACGAGAACCTAGTGTGTTTGCTTTAAATTAAGATGTTTGAATGAGATTAAAAGTAAATCAAAAAGGTTTACCATATGACAACATCTCATTATGTATAAAATCATTTCAAGCATAAGACTTAGCATAATTAAATTAATTATGTACAGCTTGAGGAGTTGAGGCTCAAAGTTATCAGCATTTCCATTATTCAGCAGAAAAGGTGGGAACCCTGTACTGGGATTTACATATGTTTATTTCTCAGTATAAAAGGCCAAGGTATGTACGAAAGAACTGACCAAGTGTACTGGAAATGACCTAACAATTCAGGTCTATATGAATGATCACCGGTGTAAAGGCCAAGTGTCCTTAAACCCCGTTCTGATGGAACCCAAGCGTGTTCTGCCATCAGAGTGTGTACAAGATATCGGCCAAGTGTCCGAAAGTAGAAAGAAGTTTATGTTTATATGCCAGTTATTTCAGTTATATGAATATATGTCAGTTTATTTAATGTCCTAATTATTATGAATGTTATGTTGAGTTTTTCCGTGGAGTACCATTATGATGTACCATTTCTAGGGGTGGTATCAGTTCGGTAATCGAACCGATAACCAACACCGAACCGATTAAATTCAGTTTCGTTAAAACCCATACCGAAATCGAACCGATAAGGATTCGGTAACCGAATTTTCGGTACTGAAAATCGGTTCGGTTTCAATAAAAACCAAACCAAAATTGAAAGCAAAAAAAAAAAAAAAA